AGACTGTGGAGCAACAAAAACGAGGAATTAAGACCAAAGCGTTGAAGTTTTATTTTAAATAGACCATAAGTGAATGATTTAGATGTGAAAAAGAAGGATTTAAAAGCATGATATAATACCTTTAATCTAAAGCAGGGCAGATTATTTAAACAGGCTGTTTTTATGGATTGTTCATTATGTTTTGTTTTTTGACAAATTTTTTTAAAAGATGGAACTCAAATAAATAATAAGATTTGTTATATTTTCCAAGTGTTTTAAATAAAATGCTTGATTTAGTTATTTTGTAATTTCGTATTAAACTGTGGGCAGCAGTACGTGCAAGCTCACCTCCTCGTCTTTCTGGGTGGAGTTTACATGTTCACCCTGTGCACAGGTGGGTTTTCTCCAGGGAATCTGGTTTCCTCCCACAGATCAAAAACAGATATTAAGTTATTTGATAACTCCATGTTGTCCCAGGTGTGAGTGAGAGGGTGAACGTTTGTCTCATTTGTCTCTATGTGTCCCTGTGATGGACTGGAGACATGTTCAGGTGTCCCACACCTCCCACTCAGTGACACCAGCTCCCTGCGTCAGAGAGAACTGGTTAAAAGAAAGGACGGACATGGATGGACTGATAATTTATGAGAGCTTGTTTAAAACAGCCTTCTTGTCTTTCATGCATCATACCTGAAAGACCGCCTCCTGTGAAAATGTAACTAACTTTCACTTAAAGTAAATTTTTATGATTTACTGTTTACTTTTGAGTAGATTTTTACACAGGTACTTTTACTTGTAATCAGTGTTGTATAAAGTACCTCAAAGTGATACTTGAGTAAAAGTACAAGTATCTTATCATAAAAATACTTTGGGAAAAGTTAAAGTCTTCTCTAATATTACTTGAGTGAAAGTCTTTTAAAGTATCTGATATTTTTTTGTACTTAAGTATCAAAAGTAAATTTCTGACACTAAATCTACTTAAGTATTAAAAGTAAAAGTGAGCAGTTAGATTTTACAAAATGACATTTACTGGGAGGTGGCTTCTCCAAAAAATATTTTTTCTAACGTTGTGCAGCTGTGATGGGTTGTGTACAAGVTAATAGTGTGTCAGAATGGTATATATTTATACTTCTCATCCAAACACAATTAAATTCACTCTATCAGGAGACACAATTTATCAGGATAGTATTTTTTTAAGTAATAACAACTCAGAATAAAGTAGGAGTGATGACTTTCTACTTCTTACCTTTTTAAAAAATGTAGTGAGTAGAAAGTACAGATAATTGTGTAAAAAATGTAATAAGTAAAAGTAAAAAGTATGCTGAAAAATAATTACTCAAGTAAAGTACAGATACCCAAAAATTCTACTTAAGTACAGTAACAAAGTATTTGTACTTAGTTACTTTACAACTCTGCTTGTACTTGAGTAAAACTTGAAATGAATAACTGTACTTTTACTTTAGTACTTTTTACACCTCTGCCCATATCTATATAACATTAAGGGGAGTACTGGCACTTTATTTTTTCCACTTAAAGCACTGTGTGTAATCTTGAAGCAGTAAGGTGGGAGAATCCACAGTAGAGCTCAGAGTAAGTGTTGTGAATCACTCTTGACTACATCCCATTTTTATTCAGTCTGTAAAATACTTTCAGCCATTTTTGTGTTGACTGATTAGCTGTCAGCTATGTTGAATGGGTTAACTCTACAAGTGAATCTGTTATACCTCCAGTGTTTACATTCTAAAAGTTTTCATGAAAATCTGCTTCATGAAATATTTTACTAACGTGAATGAGTAACGAACTCAGAGACATATTTACTTACTCCACTGTCTTCATCATTATCACCATGTCCCTGTGGTCCAGCATTGCTTCTCTCAGAGGAACGTTTGCAGAAAATCAAGGATCTTCAGTCAGTCAGTCCATACAGGATCGGTCTACTTACTGGTGTTCTTGTCCTGGAGATGCAGTTATCCTTTAGGACTCTTCAAAGTCTTAATTATACATACAGCAGGTAAAATAAGTATTGAACATGTCACCATTTTTCTCAGTAAATATATTACTAGAGGTGCTAATGACATGAAATTTTCACCAGATGTTGGTAACAACCCAAGTGATCCATACATACAAAGAAATCAAACCATAAATGTCCAACTGAACTCTCTCAGTAATTAAAAAGCAAGCCTGCCACTTGTCAGTGCAAGTTAATATC